ACAAGCCATGTGGATGCAGGTAAATGAGAAATACGATGATGGTAATGGTTGATATCCAATGCAAACCAAAGAACAGAAACCCACTTACACTTGTCAAATCCATGTAGTTCGATCTTCTTGTGGTAGGTGGTTGATTGTCCATCAGGTCAAAACGAGCTGTTCTGTATCCTGCCGATGCCATCACAGTTGTTAAGTTTCCAGTCCCAGCGAAGAACTCGATGAAAGTATATACCTGACAGTTGGTGAATCTATTATTGAATCCAGCATTTGGATGTGGGATGATGTGGGGCTTGGGTGTTCCTTTGTTGATATGTTGATTTTGATTCATCATATCTTATCAACAAAAGATTGCAAGATCTCTTTGCAATTCATGCATCGAATCTACAACCAATTCTTTTAACTTTAGTATTCAATTGAAATTCATGTTGTTTCAAAACAATTTAATAAATGATTGGGTTTCTCTATAAATGATTTCTCTCGCCTCTGGGCAAGAGTACGTCCACAGAAGAAGGAGGATGATCATCACATACTCCTGGACAACGGGCATTCTCCAAGGCTTTATAGATAAGGGCTCGAATCTGAAACTGTATAGACAGAGAATACCAATAATGGTTATACTCAGTAATTTATCACATGTTAATGATCACTGGGCCCCTTAAATTATGAAGATGTCTCCTTGGGGACTCTAAGCTTGTAAAGACGCCAAAGCAGCGCATCAAGGTTCATCATGGCAATGAGCCAATCGTCAAACTGCAAATGCCACTCACAAGACCACGCAAAATGTATAGTGGAAGATCATATTGCAAATTCAAAATCTTTTTAGTATTCCAATGCATTCATGGCAATGCCTGTATATATGGTCTTTTATTTTTTTATCATCACACCAGCCCTAGAATGGCTGCGGGTCGATTTGAAATTGACAAATGGAATTTGTTTGCTTTGCCGATCAGAAGCACTTTCGAAATAGCAAATCGATGTGTGTAGCAAACATGTCTGGAATACAAGACTTCTTGAGATGCTTGACACGCTCTTGCCACAGGCTGCCACGCCTACGTAGACGCCACTGGCTTGACCTCAGGCACCGAGTGCATGGCAGTACATGCCAGTGGTGATCAGTGGTGGGATTCTAAGGATGTAATTTATGATGTAAAGGTGGTTCAAATCTAAGTGCACCAACTATATATATATAAGTCAGTTTCTCTTGTAGGTTTCCAATGGTTTCTGGCTCCCAATGTGATGATGACGTTAAAGAATTCAGAATTCAAGATGGACTTTGGAACAGTGTTTTTCTAAGATCCTCTTCGAGATGTGACAGCCAACTTTTTTCTTTCGCGAAATCCTTGATCTTGGCATCTTGACGCAACACGAGAGCCATAGTCTTGGCAGAGAACGCAGCTGGTGCTATCAACCAACAACTGGAATGAACATGGCATGAAGCTATGCTTTGAAAAAAAATCTTTTCGATTTCTAGAATCATTTAGGTAAGATGGCACTAATTTGTTGAAACGAGCAACCAGCTTTGATGTCTCAGAAATTGAACTCCTGTAAGATGGACTGAAAAGAATGACAGGCCAAAAATGCAGCCGGCTTCTGAGTGGTAGCGCGCAACCTGCAATCTATATACACCGTGGCACATGTGCATCCCCATGCAAGATGGTATCACCTTGCACCCCACACATTCACACAAAAGCGCATCGATATGCCTATGTTGGCGCAACCCACATAGCTAAGAGATACAAAACGAAACACTGCACTAGGATTCGGTGGACCATGACTTGGTCTCCATGATGATCACGACATCAGCAAAAATTTCTTTCAACTGCTCATACATGCTTTTCACAGCAGTGTTCTCTGTGATCTTGTCATCCTTCTTGACTCCTTTGCGCTGCTTCACTTCGTCCACAAAGCGTGCCTTAAGAGAAGCAGGGTGAGTGGATGGGAATTGGATAAATATACAAGCCAAACCTTTGAGGGAACAACAGACAGAAATATCTTGACACGACTCACCACATATATCATACTAAAAAATGTATATCCTTAACATTCCTTAGTTTTTTTTAAAGATATATTTGTCTCGATCATTTTACTGGGTCACTTTCTGTCCAAAAAATGATTTAAGATAAGGTGCCAACATTTCAGCTGCTTTCAGTGCTGCTGCCATGCGAAATGTCTTGGACACATTGGCATTCTTGCTGGCGAAATATGCAAAGTCTTTCTTTTCCGCCCGGCATGTCAACCCCACAGCTGGCCGCTCATAGTAGACATTCATGCGACATGCATAAATGCTAGCCAACCGTCCCCTCATCAGCATCTTGGCATCCCATTCAGCCATACCTTTGAATCCCTTTGCAAACTTGATCATTTCCTTCACGGCCCTGCCTTGTGTCTGGAATCGTGAGCGATTCCTCAACTGGATGTTCGGTTTCTGGTTCTTGGGGTGGTTCCTCTTGATCCTCCTGTTCCTCAGCTTCATCTTCCTGCTCTATTTTCTTGTTGGTTTTTCTGGTTCTCTTGCTTTTCGGTTCATGAGCTGCCTTTGCTTTCGACTTGGTGGCTTTTGACTTGCGGGAACCTCCATGGTTGGCATTCTCATCATTCTCCGATTGATCATCTTCCTGGGTCTCCAGTTTGCTAGATCCTTCATTGGCTTTGGCTTTCTTTGCATGACTCTTGGGTTTTTTATTCTCCTTGCTCTTGGTGGATTTCTCAACAGTTTCGGTTTTGGGAACATTGGGTTTCTTGGTTCGGCTGGGTTGAGGCTCGGCTGACTGAGCTTTCATCTTGGCAAGTTCTTGGAGCTCATGCTTGCTGCACTCCCCATCCCAGTATGCTGCGCTGTCCCAAACCCATGCATCATACTCCTCCCAACTGTCCCAAGACTGAGACCATGCCTGATCAGTCCCCCACGCTGCCCAATCATCCTGTTGTCCCTTGTTGCTGACGCTCTTAGCTCTTTTGTTTGTGGGGATCTGGTCATTGTTGCTTCGCTTGCTGGATGATGCTCGTGTTTCAGTTTCTTCTGGTGGATCAATGGAATCTTTCTGACCACCACGTCCTCTCCCTTTCCCTTTCCCTCTCCCTCGCCCATGGGGCCCACGCCCACGTCCTTTCCTTGGTAGATCCTCGCCCTCTTCACCCTCGTTGCCCTTCATTTGAAGTTGGTCCACCCGTGTCGTAGCTGCTCCTTTTGGGCTTGCCTGTCGGCAGGCTTTGGCGCACAAGACAAAAGATGAAATAAAAGTGTACAAATCGTCCGAAAGAATTTCATGGCATGATCATAAAACAAAACAGGTTGTCACATATTATCACAATATAGTTTGACCATCCCACAACCCAGAATCTAGCCTCTTGGTCGCTCGGCGTAAAAGCCCCATTTTGTGCTCCTAGTCCTTTTGGGGTCTTTCCTGGGACATTCTCTTTTGGGATCTTTGCATCCTTTCCTTGAACCTTCTCCTTTTCCACTTTGTCCTTGTCAACATCTTCTGACTCAATCACTTGATCATTTTTGGGTGCACCAGTGGGCGCTTCCCCCGAGTGTCCTGCGTGAGGTGTTGCAACAGGCCTCTTTGAGTGGAAGGTTGCTCTCTTGAGCTCCGCTGAATGGTCAGGCGAAAGAAACTCCTGGGATTCTCCTGCTGGTGGGCTGCATGCCATCACATCCACGGGCAATGTGTCCACAGTGTCCACTGAGACAGGAGGCTTTGAGCTTGAGCTCATAGTATTCTTCGTTTCTCCTGTCAGCGCGGACTATACTTTATCTTTTTTTTCATGGTGAAATGTGTCTTAAAGTTCACTCATATTAAGAGTTCAAGAGAGAAACCGGTTTTTAATTCGTACTATTGCGTAATATACTTATAAGATCTTATAAGCACCTGTGAAAACTGATGAGCACGACCCCCACATGGTCCCAGCTTGTGCCTGGCTTTTCCAACGAATCCCCAAGATTTGCGTTGGATTTTGCAGCTCGAAGCCTGGGCTCGAGCAAGTTAGATTACCTCAACAATTTGAAAAATGCCGGTTCTAGATCATTTTTTGGGCTGCAACTTTCACCAGCTTAAAGTCTTCAAGCACCAGAATTACGGTGACACATGTAAGCCAAAGAACTTAGCCAATTTCTGCAAGACTTCAGCTTTCTTTCGCTGCAAGTCCTCCACTGTACCTTGATGATTGTAACTCATGAATGCATATTGAAAACGTATTCAACATATTTCAACATGATTGGTACATTGATTAACAAAAATCTGCAGTGGCCAAAACCGACAAAACTTCTAGAAAGTCAATGTATAAACGTTTTCCAATACTGTGGATCACACACCATACACCTCGATGCAACAAAGATGCTTTTTTCTGTTGATGCTGAACCCGCTGAACCCCCATGAGTGCTGGAACCACCGCCCTGAATCGAAGTTGAGATAGCAACCTTATCATCCTTGGGTTTTTCTTCGGGTTTACTCTGGTTAGTGACATGGTTCTCAACCTTTGAAGGGGCTTCAGGCTCTTCCTTTGATCCCGCTGGTGTGGACTCAGACTCTTCGCTTTCTGACTCATCTTCATTGTAGTCTCTAGCTTTTGCATCAGAATCTTCGGAGCTGGAAGAGTCCTGGTGTGCAGCAATGGTTTTCTTTCTTTTGGATGCTACAAGTTAGTTGTCAAAAGTCCGGGTATATATAGTTATATATAGATATATCGATTATTGATTTGGAGTTGGATTGGAACAAAATGGCATTTGACAAATGCAGGGTCCTCTTGGGCATCTGCACCTGCCTTGGCAGCAGCCCGTTGTGCCTTTTTCTCTGCGATCTTTCTGTTGTGCTTTTCCACAGCCTCCTTGGGAAAATGACGCGTCTAGTCCATACAAATCGAGTTAATTAGTAGACATCGATAGATCTATTTGTTCCACATGAAATCATAACGAAAGCCAACATTTCAGTGCCATCCAGCATGATGATCTAATAAGGGGCTAGGCCAGTTTAGAGATGTTGAGATATGAATGTGAGCCCATGCCACTGCCCGTGCAGGTAGCAATCCTGGAGACTGTTGTCCAAGTCGATGCAGAGCTGCTGGAAAGCAGGCACCTGGGATGAGATGATAATCAACAACACTTGACACATTAAATGGATAATTGCACGAGTGGGATGCAATCCCAAAACTCATCTAGGAACCATTGGGGCTTAGGTCACTTGATTTCTTCAGAAATTATATTTGCAGAAAAGGCACCGATGATACTTCCCCTCTGCGGCATTTCATCTTCAGGAATCCTAAGAGCTTCCTGATGCGCCACGACGCTGAGATCACATCAGGCTGGTCCTCTGGTGTTTGACCACGTTTGTTGACGAGGTAAACCTTTTCCACCTCATCCCGCAATTTGTCAACATTTGGTAAGGGCTTGTGCTCAGTCATGCTCATCCTGGTGATTAGTGGTTGCAACACAAGGCTAGCAGCCACACAAGCTGGTATATCTTCAGTCTTGCCATCTGGCAACAACTCCTCACCAGCTCGCAGGCCATCTCGGATGTCCTTGTTGGCATCCCACTCTAGATGAAGGCCATCAATGGGGAGAACTGCCTGTGAACTTAACTTGGGACGGCCACCAGCCTTTTTTTGGCAGTTTCCAGCCATCCTCAAATATAGATCAAGATGGCACTGCTTGAGCCGCTTAAATCACGGTTAGCCACTGAAGATCTGACATGTTCAACCATTTGGCTTGTTTGATGATTTCCATGTGTATAGAGCAAAGTCAGATTAAGTATGTATTCGGTCCTTCATACAACATACCAGCGGAATTGCATTAAAGAGCCAGTGAAGCAGCGCCCAAGCCTCTCACAGGTCTGGGATACCCGGCTGGCCAGTGGACTTTGAGCTTGCTCGCATTGCTCAAAAGCTGGGCACAGTTGCGGCGTCATTGGACACTACAATTCTTGTTGGGAAATGAAAAGTGAAACATGGTAAAAGCCAAACTTGGTAAACATTCTTGGCATCTCATCCCAAGAGTTTTGGCACCTTGATCTATAGTGATATCAGGATTGATCTAATTTCATACTACTTGAAATGGATTGGTTATAATCGATGATATTTTCCCATAATCCAGCATCCAACCCATCGTGATCATCTTTGATCCCAACATCCTGCAGCGCCTGGGCATGTGCGGGGGCCCGGAGATAACCATTGGGATCTAAATCATCAAAATATCTCAAAGATACAGATCTCAGTAGAAACCCGATGTTTTCGTTTCAAACCCGATATTTTTAAAGGGTTGATGCTCAAACCCGATGTTTGCACTCAAACCTGTTTATTTTAAAGGGTTTAGATGCTAAGGGTATATATGGATAGAGAGAGAGAGAGAGAGAGAGAGAGAAGAATGAGAAGAGGGAATCGTGGGAAGACCATCTTTCAAGCACGAGAGCGCCCTGCATCTCCCAGGAATTTCGAAGGTTCTTATCCAGCCATGTGGCAAACCACTGGGCAAAGTGGCTACGCTTGTGATCCTGACTGCCAGAAGGGGATGCACGCCACCAGATGGCAAAGAGCTACAACTGTAGATGTTTAAGACTGCCGCCAATCTTGTGGTCGTTGCCACGGTGTTGCGCCTTTTTCTATGTTTTATCATGGTCATGGACATTCAGGACCAGTTGAATTTGCACATACATTTTTCATCATATTTCAATCACACACCATTTCTATGCATACATCGAAGTGCAGCAATTTCTTTTGTAACATTTTGTAACTATACGAGTTCCCAGGCCAGAATTGATGATGGTTGCATATTTTGCCTCAATTGCCGCCCTCGGATCAATAAACCCTCTATTAGTTCAATCGTGGTCACGTGTTTAGTAAAAATATGTGAGCCACCACAAAAAGCCCGGCAATACTAAACATGTAATGGACGAACATTGGTTTGTGGAAAATTATGGACATTGTTAAAAACGCGAGGTAAGCGATGTGACGTTTCCAAATTAGCGATACCCCATTTCAAGGTAATGTCATTTTGAACATTGATTCCTGACGTCGTTTGTGAACCAGATTTGGGCCCACAAGGGTACGCGCTCCTCAGAAAGTGTTCTTCTTGATATCCATGGAGTGGTCCGCAGAGAAGGGAATCCGCAGAAGCGGAAGCCAAGTCCCTGTAAACAAGTTTGTTTCACTAGCTGCCTGCACATCCTTGCCTTGCATTTTTTCATCGACTCTCCACTTGAACTTGCGTCATTTCGATTGTCTCTCCGCTGACTTTATCTCCCCACTGCTGTTGTTTAGTGAAGCTTCTTTGTGACGCTGACAAATCAAATTATTGCCATTGCTGAAGAGTGGCTCTATTGACCACCCATGTGAGCTTGCACTGTTTTGCTTGCCTCTTTGCTGACTCTTTGCTGACTCTTTGCTGTTGTTTCATGAAGCTGTTTCTGGCAAAGCACTACAGTATCAACAGATGCCAAATTTGGAAAATCATGAGGTGAATTTTAGCGATGCCCTAGCGATGCCTACACGTGATACCCCTTTTTCTGTTCCAGACACCCAGGTAGGCGCATGTGGCACATTCAGGTTTTCTGGTGGCAAGCTAGATAGAGATAGCTAGATAGATGGGTAGCCAGCTAGCCAGCTAGCCAGCCAGCTAGCCAGCCAGATAGATAGATAGATTAGATTGATAGATAGATAGACAGATAGACTGGCATTCTATCTGACATTCTTTCTGGCAAAGGTTCGGGCATTCGTGTTTGTACGCCCGGAGAGCTTGGAGAGCTCGCTATAGAGTGGCTGTGTAGAGGTGGCTGGCCAACAGGCTGTCCATGCTGGCCGTGGGGAAAAATAGATTTGCAAAGCACCTCTTCCAGTAGCACCTCTTCAGATAGCTCAGAGTCCTGCAGCGAAGATGCCTGATCAAAAAGGAAGCACAGCCTCAGCTCTGGAGTCAAGTAGATCATTAATTTTTCCAAGTTTGCCATATATCATCATACATCATTTTTGTGCAACGTGTGGTAAGGGATGGAGCCTTTCCAAATTGGTGGATGTCCATTCCGTGAACCTAGGATTTTCGAGGGTTTTCGAAATTGCTCATGTAACATATGTAAAACATGTAAAAATGGCGCCCCCCAAACTACACTATATTAAGCAGCCCAGGGGTTTACTAATCCATGGGTTGGCATTTCCAATGATGGCAGTCCAGCCCTTACATTGCTAGATTTTCCAAGGTCGTGGTGCCTGATTCGATGTGCACTGTGGGTGTAGCTGCAGACGCAGTGATGTCAGTGTCGATGCCACCGCCATTGCCTGGAGCACCTTGGCATGCCAGGTGAAATCAGGTGGGACATGTGTGAGTATCCCAGGTGAATCAGCATCGTTGGGGCACGGGCGACGTTGGGAAATGCGAGCCGGTACGTGAGCCGGTGTGTGTGTGTGCATCTATGGTGAGCAGATATTTGCTTACTGGTGATGAACTGGGGCTGATTGAATCTTGTTGTGGGTGTTGTGCTGCTTGTTCTGCTTTTTGCCCATTAACTTTTCCATTCAAGTCCAGTCATCCCTGAAGTTTGTCAAGTGCTCAGTTTCCATTCGACTCTGCGAGTCCCAACGCTGCTTTGTTTGCAGAGCAGTGCAAAATTGCCACGGATGCTCTGGCTGATTCACCTGCAAGTAGTCATGATTGGTTCTTCCCTGAACACCAAATGGCATTGTGCACTAGGATTAGGGGTTTTCCAAGGTTTTCCCCTCTGATAGTCTGATAAACCCAAATGCAAAGAAATGTCACGACTTAAATGTGGCTATTTGTAAGGTGGGCGGCGCTGCTACCTTCTGCTCTGCGGACCAACACGGGCGCCCCGCGCACTTGGTGTTTCAGTGGCCTGAGACTTGGAGCCACCCTCTTGGAATTACTTGGATCCATAGACAATACCACACACAGATCACATTAGTTTGCAAATCTAATTCAGTTCGGATCAAAATCTTTCAATTTAACTTGATTCTTGAATTGTTTGACAAAAATTGGTGCACCACAGTGTTCACAGCAGTCCTTGAGGCACCGCCGACTCACTGCAGTGCACTTTGCCTCTTCATCCACCGAGGATTGAAGATCTGGCAGCCAGAGCGGTTGCAAGTTGTGATGTCATGAGATGTGTCATATAAAACTTTGGATTTACAGATATATCCGATATTGAGGAATGGCGATCAATCCATTAACAGGGATGTACATGCCCATTAGAGCCGTTATATGCCGATTGCAAGGATTCCCACTGTGGGATGGATGACCATACATATAACGCATTATACCGCATACATATACCATCATATACCATGTTTTGACTATGGCACAGGTGTTGGGACTGCTTGGCAGCTAAAGTCTCTCTCTCTCTCTCGTTCTCTGCGTGGTCTCTGAGGTCTCTGGATGTTTATGGATGTCTATGGATGTCTATGGTCATCCCAATCTTCACTGGTTTGATCAATAAGATTGGGTGTTGAAGTGCGTTGAATGTCGGAAGATCGGAAGAATTATGTAAATTCATAATATGACGATCAATTATGATCAAATATAAATAATATCAAATAAGAAACTATTTTCTGAGGTGATATCCCTAGCCTGCGATTCCGTCACCATCCCCGCATGGAGGAGCTTGTACAGCAATGGCGTGGACTTGTGCTCCACGAGGCTCGTCAAGCTCATCGTGGCCAGTTTCCGTGGATGTCCATAGCGACGGCTTTGATTTGTTAAATGGAGAGATGAGAATAGCATTGTGGCGTACCCCGGTTTCTCGAAAACATCAGGCGGTAAAACGAGGTAGGAACACTCCGTCAATCGCGTTTTGTAATGTTTTGTACCAAATACCGGTAACTTCCGTGGCTCATATAACGGAATATCATGGAAAATTTTTGAAATGATATCGTGCAATATCATGGAAATCCATAGATGATCACGGATTGTAGTAGAATAGGGATGAATATGGATGAAAATGGATGTCCACGGTTTCTTCAAAATGACTTGAAATCCTTGAAATTCTGCGCCTTGATGAGATTTGATGAGTCAGGCCTTCCACGGTCTTGGCTTTGGATCTGGACTCTGGCAGAACAGCACCTCTGCTGAGGGGCTGCGGTCGGAAGGGTGGTTGGTGAATATAGCAACCTCAACGACTTGTGCTGTGGATCATCTGCGGACCATGAACACTTTGTGTGAACTCCTTTTCACATTCTGGGAGCATAATGGAGCATATTTGCAAGATGGCAAGATTTGGACGTGTTTTTTCATTTTCCAGTTCAAAAATGCAGATGGGACGCCTCATGTAACCGATTTTATTGTTGCATCGCGGGAATCTGGAGCAGTAAGCATATAGTTCAGGCGCTCTATCTGACCATGACCAGAACAACCAACATGTGAATCTCCGTGGATTTCCAGGCACCCATCCCGAAACATGACTTGCAACAAGGATATGATGCCAATGGCCAGCGCCGAGAGATTATCAAACAGTTGGAGGTGCGCCGGAGCCTTGCTGCATTTCCTTTTCTGCAATTTATTTTGGTACGCGTAGATATATTATGTGAATAAATAGTTTTATATAATTTTATAACATTTTATACATAATGGATATTTAAGATACATAATGGATATGTGTATATTATGAATGTATAGATGTACACATGGGGTTCCTCAAATATGTTGGTGTTTTTTTGACCTCTCTGAACCACTTCATTGTTTTCACAGGATGAATCAGTGATCTGTTGGTAGCCTTACTTCCTCCATCAGGAAGTAGCACGGATAGGCCGCATATGCTCCATGCGATCCCATGTGGGTTTGTTTGTGGAGTTCCCCCAAATGATCTGATAATAAACAGCAATAAATTGACAGAATGGAGATCAACTCGGGTAATAGTAATACCCGTACCATCCCGTACCCCATTGACACACGCACGTGGCATCCATATCCAGTGGTGTCAGACGAAGGTTGAAGATGACGATGGCGCCAAAGACTTCGTCTACCATTTCGTGTCCCTGGGCGCCATGACACGTTACACTGTGCAGTGGACACGCCAGGCTGCGCTGGAAAATACCTTGAAGAACACTTAAAGAATTTGAAAGACATGTGGCGAAATGTGTAACTATACGTTTTTATGCATGTAACTGTTTGTCATAATTAATCGTATATTATGTCAATATATGTCAATCATGGCAAAATTCAGCAACGCCTGCCCTGTCCGCCAAGACTTGATGTTGCTTTCTGCGGCAGCAAAAGTCATGGCTAAGGAAAGGCACTCGCACCTACGAGGTGGCCAAAGCATACTTTGGTTGTGAGGAGGACTGCAGATTCTCAGCAGGGCCTTGTAGATTGTTTTTAAATAAAATATGACAGAATCAGAGAACACATCCGCACCTTTCTTCTTTTTCAAGAGGGATGATAAACTAAATTCTTCTTCTTCTTTTTCTTCAAAGCACTGGCAAGGTACTGGTCTTCACGGCATTTCATGGCCAGATTTGATCTGAAGTAGATGGAGTCAGGACGATCAATGGCAAGGCTTGCCCTTGATGAGTTGGCCGCCATCTGGACGAGACACCCACCATGAGACCAGGGTGATGAGGGATGATGTGATGTGCCATGGCACCATGGTTTCGCGGGCTTTGGAGATCCTGGATGTTCCTGGTTTGGATCAGAAAGCTGCTTCAAAGTACTAGAATTTCGCAGAATTGATTTCTTACAGATGCTTGCAGATGTATTAGTAATACGGTATTGTATCTCTCGATTTGATTCAAAAAACGGTGCTGTCAGATTCCTGGTGACTAGTCAGTGTAGGCTTGTTGGTTTTCATGGGTTTTCACTGATTCAAAGTACTTGGCCGCAGTAGAATCACAGATCACGATGATCACGTCTGAGAGAGCAATGTTTGGAGGTCATACGGCGGTGGCCTGGAAGCAGTGTCAGCGATTACTTTGGCAGCGCTGGAGGTGTGGTGCCGCTTCCAGCAATTGTTTGAAAGCTGGATGTAGGTGAAGCATGCAGCAGTGGAACCCTTCATGGTTCAGATGACTCCAAGTCTCCGGAACGGTGGAAGCCTGCTGGTAGTCTTCCAGGTCTTCGTTTCCTATACATCAGAGCTATACCTGCACCTCAATGCAGTTCCATCAAACTTAAGGTCTCACGAAACACAGCTTCAACAAACTGCAAGACTGCAAACTTGTAGCCACCTTGTAGTCTTACAGCATCTTACAATATCTTACATCTTAAATCCTAAACTGCTTGAGGATACAGGGCACTACCTGGCCAACTATAGCGCTGCTGAATGTGTCCCAGCTGCACAGAAATGTTTGGGCAAGTGCCTTGATTCCATGTGCTGCAGATCGGCATCGTGCGACATGTATGCATCTTTGCCCATTCTTTGCCATTTGGGTGCAACATTCCAAACGCAGAGGAAGACAAATTGCAGTTTAAGGATGTTTGAGGTCTTATGGTTTTACTGTAGGTTTGTTAATGGGGATGATTTGCAGTCCAGATGCATGATGATGCAGCTGTCAATTTGGAGAAACTCTTCAAGTTGAGGCACTTGGTGGGGCAAAGGTCGTGGCTGTAGCTTTGTTTTACGGCGATGTACGGCGCCTTGTCTGTGAATAGCCCGCAATGATGAGCCCTGCTGCACCCTGAATGGTGGAGCTTTCCCTGGTGTAAAATGGTGGAAATACAGCACCTTATAATTCCTTATAACATCTTATAACATCTTATAGCCGACGCAGAAGAAACAGAACAAAAGGATACGAAAGGGGTCAGTTCGAGACACAACTTGCACTGATGGATGGGTCAGGTGAGACCGGAAGGAGAAGTAGTGACGGGTGATGCCGTCTCTTCGCAGTGCGACCGCACCTGGTCCACCAGATACTCCTCTGGAAACCGAGAGGCATGGCCCGGCTGCGTGCTTTGGATACCTGGTGACCTGGGTATAATTTGGTGCTGTTTGGAAGACAAAGAAGGACAATTCCAACAGCAATTGGCTTTTAAAGTATTTTAACATATTTGACAGGTACATATTTATATATTTTGAAAGCATATCGTATGATATAACTACATATGAGTAACCGACAAAAAATCCGGAAGACTAAAGTAGTAGGGAGTGGACTTGGGATGTTCAAATTTGTGCGAAAACATTCACAACCGATAGGGGACCACCCACTTTGGCTATGTCCAGTGCGGGTAGTGAGTAATGTTGTCCGCCACTCATATAACATCATATAGCTATATAATTGAACTAATATGAACTAATTATATTATAATCATTATAAATATCATAATTATGATGGAGCCAATCAATTTGAGTACCATTCCTGTGAGTTGGAAACAACTGCAACCAGTTTCATGGAGATCATCTGGATGTTCCAAGTGATACCTGTCACAGATGGAGATGGCTCTTAAAAATAGGAGATTTACATAGAATTTACCCGATTTACTCTCAATCAATGGCCGTTTAAATCCTTTTAAGTATATTCTAATGGGAATAATTTCGGAATAATGATGATTCAGAAATTTAGGGCTAGCCTATGTTCAGACAGAACGAGGGCTGGTGAAGCA